TGTCATGGCGATGGCAGAACTTCCAATAGGCTGCTGCTAAAGACGTGACTTTAACTGGGACATGGTTTGCTATCTCCTCTCCGTGAACACCCATGGAAGTCTTTGCAGTGTGCTGACAGTTAACAGGAAATTTGGTGCAACAATCTTTGGCATCTATAGAAACAACAGAATTTAAATCATTGGGGTTTAGCACGTCCAGTTTGAATCATGAGTTAAGTCATCTTTTTCTTAATTGGGTTGATTTGAGCACTAACAAAAACTTCTGGATAACTGAGAGATTACATGAATAAACTCTAACTGCATCTTTGTTGGTTTGTTAAAAAAATTATCTCAAAACAAAAAGAAAATGTGACAAATGTGTGACAATCATAGGCTAGAAAGGACACGGACATATTACTATTTTGCCTTTTCACCTGTTATTTCACAATATGGCATTAAACTTACATATCTCCACGGAGACAAGGAAGAGATACCTGTGTGCCAAGTTAAAGGTCAGATTTGTGGAGTAAGTAAGAATGCATATTTGTACTAGCCTTTTTTGCAATAAGCACATGTAACTGGATCAACGGAAGATAAAGAATTTAAATGCCACCGTGTGGAACATTCGTACAGAGACACTTGTGAGCTTTAAGCTATGTTGCAATACTGTTATCTCGTCAAAAACATATCTGGAGTTGAGTTTTGTTTCATTCCCGCATCTTCGAGTAACCCTGCATGATTAGTCTGTCTACATCTCCAAAGCTCAAAATGCTCTGTTCCACTTTGCAGAGATGGGACTTGCAAGACATGACTTGGACTCGAGCCAGACCTGAGTCACTATTTTTAGGACTTGAGACTTGACTTGATAAAATGATAAAATGGACTAAGACTTGGGACTCAGCTTGGACTTAAAGGTCAGTGACTTGCGATTTGACTCGAACTTGATGCTTCTACTAAAAAAATATATGTTTTTAGAAAAGACTTTTCTCTTTACAGTTGATAAATGCGGTGCCTAATTTTACAGGTACAAACTGGAACATGTCCCTCCCACTTCTTTGTGGTACTTTGGCAACAGTAACTGAAGTATTGTGATGTGGTATCCTCAAATGTACAACAGTAATATACAGTACAATACAGTAAAACAACTACATAGAACCTGATCCTTCTGTCTCAGTGCAGGCGACTTGACAAAATAACTGTTATTAAGCTCTGTTAAATCTGAATGTGTTCTATTCTCACCGTAATGATTCACACTAAGCTCTTGACGAGACATTTACACTTGACTTGGACTTATGTGACTCGAGACTCGACTTGGACTTGCCTACATTTGACTTGGGACTTGACTCAGACTTGAGGTCAAAGACTTACTTGAGACTTGCAAAACGACGACTTGGTCCCACCTCTGCCACCTTGTGATGTCATGAAGCTGTAGTTTTCAGATTAACATTTGCCTTTCACCTTTTGCTGGGTAGAGATTGGCAATTCCAGGTCTGAAATTATCCAAATGATTCTAGTTGAAGGTGTGTGGAGTTTAAAAACAGAGCGGAGTCCTTCCTCTATTACCACATGACATCACAAGGTTGAATAGCGTGTTTTCTGTTTGAGAGAAGAACTCTAAATATGCAGTGTGTTTTGGATGAGGAAACAACATTGTAACAGATCATAAAATAGAGTAATATGGAGTCTTTAACTTCACTCTTGCACACAAAACGTCAAAATTGGGAATAAACCTGGAACTGAACCTGGAGAAAAGCAAAAACAAAACTAGGCCCAATCTACATCAGGAATGAAATGCTAATGACTCATGGAAGCAAGACAAGATAAATATAATTCTTTTTCAACTTCTGCTTCACCGCTTTGCACTTTTCCCACACCTGAACGTTATAATAAATGTACACTCCTCTTGTCAAAAGTGTCTTGTGGCGTTGAGATAAATTTCCGGGCGCGTTTGGGGCTGTTCCTTTTCCCTGGGTCATGCATAATTCTCGGATGGGACATGGGCGGGGAGTGGTGGGACCATCACTTGTCAAGACACTCAGCAAGCTATTTGTTATTCCCCGACTGTAAAGACGAGTGACATTTTCCCATTGGCAGTTGGAGCACATCTTAGCCCTGGCCTCTGCTCTCCTTCATCTCCTGTGGTTTGCTCAGCTGAAATGGGACAGAGAGGCTAGCGGGGGCTTTATATGAATTCACATGGGGGAAAGGGGGAGTGGTCTGCGGGGATGTGACAGATAGTATGATTTTGCAGTGTAACAAAGGCCCCCAGAGATCAGCTTATTAAATAAATGTAGCTGGGAAATGGTAGCGCGGATGTGATTCCATTTGAAACCAGGTGAGTGCAGGACTAGTGCGAGGGAAGTGGTTAAAGCAAATATTACATTACACACAGGAAGCTTTGGTTTGTGCGACTCTATAGAGAAGATCCTCGTGGATTTACTGGGCGGTTCCTCTAAGCCTGGTGAAAATGGCGATTGTGGGACATGTGAATTGCATCTATAGTAGGCAGAATACATGGCAGTCAGATTTCACCCAAATCTGGATTTTTGGACTAAATCTTAAGATGGATCCTGGACTGGGGTCAAATACAACAGGTGGGTAGTATTCAGTTACATTTACTTGAGTACTTTTCTAGCACTTTTACTATTTTTACTTTTCACTTTCACTGAGTTAAAGAAAACAAAGCTGCCTTTATGCTGACAATATTCAATTATTTTAACATTTATTGAGTTTCTTGCACTGCTCCTTCAGATATGATGTGCTTTTTATCAAAGTCCCAGATTTTGTGAATTATTTTAATGCAGGTATCATCAAACAAAGGCGTGCGGGCCAACTCCAGCCCTCGACACCCATTTGACTGGCACCCCAGCCCCTCTACCCCCACCACTTGAACTGGTCTTATGAGGCAAGCCTCAAAAGTTGTCATGGCCTATTTTTTTAAATTACTTTTTGCCAAATAACACGTCTGCATCTTGTATTTTGATTATTTTTTCTATTAAAAAATTATATTTATATGAAGTATTTATATTAAAATAATTATATGACGTATTTACATTTGCTGCCAAATTTTTATCACCTAACAAACTTGAGATCAAACAGTGACAGTCGACGCAGGTGCAGAGTTCTGTAGTGCAGTTAAGGACAGTAAAATGGCTCGTGTTAAAGTACAAAAAATTGACCGAGTGCTGAGTATTCAAAAACAGTGGACGACCAATTAGTTTTTTGTTCAGTGTAAGGAGCGTGCAGTTTGTCTGATATGTAAAGAAAGTGTGGGGGTTTTCACAGAATATAATCTGCGTCGTAAGGGTCATACAGTTCTGTTATACGGCTGACCTGACCCCGACCCCATCACAGTCAGGAGCCATAATGTGGCCCCCAGAGGAAAAAAAAAGTTTGGTGACCCCTGGTTTATTATTTTATCCTTCAAATAATAAACTTCAAATTGTAAAGCAAATGTGAAATTTATTTTGTCAGTTTTTACTCTGTCAATCTATCAATCCCATTCTACAGATGTATCTGTCAAATGCAGAATCCAGTATATAATAACTAAAAAATAGATGAAAAAAAAAATAAATTAATAAATAGAATGACTACTGTAAGATGTGTTACTCTTGTTGGACCTTTGATGCTCATGAAGCAAAAATGCATGACTACACCATATAATGTAACATGCCCTTTAAAAGAGAAAATTATTATGAGTCACCAACTTAGTTCCGAGTAGACTCCTGCACAGTTTCAGGCTGCAGTTTTCTCCTCACCTGACATGACAATAACACAGACAGCAGGGGTTAGATTTAAAAAGTGCTGTTCAAAATTTGGAACAATTGTATCTTTAGTCTGGATTATGCATGCCATCTATTATTTATGAATACCCATGATGCATTATTCAGTGTGCTAAAGTTTGGTGTCCATTCACACAATTGTCACAGCTGCAAAACACTGACATTTGCTGTAACAGTTCATGAATGGTTAGCTGCTAATGGGGGTCACTACAGTCAAAACTGATCATTTGAAAAGCAACATCTCTCCCCCCTCCTTCAGCTCAACCTTTGCTAGCGGCCGACAGCTAATTAGCCAACATTTCCTGTCCTTTCTGTCCAACTTTCTGTCCATCACCGTGCAGCCTTCTAGCCCGGGTAGATGTGGTGTCAATGGCGTGACAGGGACAAGTCTCTCTGGGGGGTTTCAGCAAATACTTGGGACAGTTTTCCCTCATCTTCCAGGGCATCAGGGCAAATCCGAGGACAGAAGATGGGTTTCTTCACCCCTAAACTGACAACAGACAAGCCCTGAAGGGTTAAGGAGGAAAGAGACTGGCACTAACGCTGTCATTAGAACACACAGAGATGAGAATAGCAAGTCACAAATATGAGTATTCATTAGAAACAGTCAGTGAATGTTTTCCTAGAACAGTAAATTGTATTCTCATTTATGTAGTTTGGTTGGCAGAGATCTGCATTTTTTAATCAAAACAATGGTTGTTTTTCAGAACATATCTGAATAACATACTTTTGGATAAATCCAGTTATATAAATGAATGCTTAAAAACATTCTACAAAGTGATAGTACAGATTTTATAGCTTTCACAATGACATACATTTTAAATTGCTTTTTTGTAATACCACCACCCTTCCCCTTAACTAAAGAAATGCTGCACAACTTTTAAAGGCATCTAAATATTTTGGGAACATTTGAAGTACAAGACTTCATCATGTGAAGTCATTGTATTTTTTCATCTGATCTCAGCTCCTCAGTATCACAGTTCAGTATTATACTGCATATGTATAGTCCATGTAGTAGCTAGTGCAGAATGGGTTTTATATATATATATATATATATATATATATATATATATATATATATATATATATATATATATTTAACCAAGTCTTCACAGATTCTGTTCTAGTACACCACAGACCATTTTCTAATATCCTTGAATTGGAGCAAATGGGTTTCCCCTGGACAGACTCAAGTGCACAGAGCCAGCTGAAGCTAAAAAGAAAAAGCATGATCCAAAGCAACTTTCCAGGAGTTCATTTAATCCCAAGGATCTTTGAGACTGGAGAGGGAAGAGCTCATACAAACACTCTACTGTACATACAGATTTACATTGACTTGGGGCATGATGTATGGCCTTTGTCAGGCCCTTCTCTGGAAGAGGAGACATTCTGTACAACAGTTATAGGGCCGTGTTCCCAGCAATGCATGTGTCCAGGGTTTGCAAATAGCTTGGACCAGAAGGCCAATGAGACAGGGGCAATCTGAACAAATCAACAACTGTGCTGTTCACCATTATAATCGTGATGCTATTGTTACAAAATGAAATATTTGGAATGCATACAACAGTAGAGGCAAACTGGAACACCAACCATTTGAAAAGCGCCTGTCACTTTGAATGCAAAATGACAGGCTGGATACAAACCAAACTGTCGAAGCAGAACTTCTATAAAACTGACATTACAAATGTCCATGCCCTCCTCCCCGACAGTGGCCTTCGCACGGGGCACGGTGCTTCTGATGATCTACACAGGTTTTGTTATGCCTGGTACCTCTTGATTTTGTAAAACCATTCTTTGTTTGATAATAAAATCAAATGAATGAAAATAAAATGCAATATATATAACTTTCAGGTCCATGTTTACATTTGATTCATTCTTCTTCACTTTCATTCTCAGGCTCCATTTCTTCTCCATTTGTTCTTGACTCTTTTCTGTTGTTGGTTTCATCATTGTCCTCCTTCTCTGCCTCCATCATCTCATCTTCTTCCTCCTCCCAGTGCTATGAAAAAATATACATTTTACCAGGTAGTTTTTACTAATCACACTGCTATAATGCTCATGACTAATGACTTACATCTGATTCATCATCTGGAGGGGCTTCATCATCTGAGGCCTCATCTTCAGAGGACTCTATAAAACAAAACACGTTTTATGTTTTCATGTTGATAGGACCAATAATTCTGTAGAAATGTACAATTAAATTTTGGAATGACTTTGTACAATATATTAGAGAGAGGGGCTGCAACTGGATCAGGGAGAGAGGGGTGGGAGGAGGCAGATATCACCAAACACAAAAGACAGGAGAGGACACACTGAACTTTGAGTCAAATTGTTTATATTTAAGTAAAATCTTTGGAAATGTGAAGGCACACTGAGGAAACAAAGAGCCAAGCTGTGGAAGCTGTGGCCCTGATTCAGCTTTCACCTGAACGAGCCCGTTTACTAAAACCCACTAATACTGCCACAGGATATCTTTGTACTGATAAACCTGTCGACTGAAATGTGTTTACCTCTTCATTTATTTATTTTCTAGCACACCACTACTTTGGGTGTTTACCACAATGTTCATATGTGGTAAACTTGACATTTGTTTTCTACCCTGCAATGGAGATAGTTCCCAACTACCAACCTCAAATTGTCTGAAATAATGTTGCAGAGTACAGTGTATCACATATAGTCACAAGAATGACTCAAGTCTGGCCTGTTAGCCATGTGACAATGTTCTAAGCCTTCCATCACAGTCCCATGTTGGCTTTTTAAAGGCCTATAATAAAGCCAGTGCACAGAGGCATTCAGCAGGGACTGGAACAACCTCCAGCTCATCACAACTTTTGAAAAACGCACCCCTGCTCCGGGACCACTGACAGAAGTATTGGAACTCAGGGCTCAGCTTAATTATTTCATGAAAGCCAATTTCCTACGTGTTCAATAAAGGCTTTTATACAGTAGGGTAATGAGAAATGAGAATGAACAGAGTGGGGCCTTGTTGCGCTGCTCAAAGGGGAAGATTTGAAACGTTGCCGGTCAAGTTGCCAGGCAACAGGAGTCATGTTTGCGTGTGATGCATCGCCAAGAGTGGCTTTGCGGTGAGCAACAATGCCTTCATAAATCTTCAACATTTCAGTGTTGGCTCAGTCTTCACACCCTGTCCCCAAACGTCTGGGGATAAATTGAGGAGATAATAAATGCCATTCAAAATAATGATTTAAACAAGAGGCTGTCGCTGAGCTCCCATCACAGGCAGCGGGTTAAATATACCCTAGTCAATCACTGCACTCCCTACAGCCTCCACTTACACCTGAGCAGGGGAAGGGGCAGCACAGAGGAGCATTAGAGCAGGTACTTACCCTCTTCATAAACTAGTTTAGCAGTGTGGTCTACATCTGCGGCTGAAGAACTGTTGGCATTTGTCGCCATCTAGTGATAGAAAAGTGCATTAGTCACGTCCAGACAAGAAATCTAAAGAAGAGCTGATGTTTTAATGACATTAACAAATCACCTGTGTTGTCAGGAGATAAAGTTTCCCATGTAGTTTGGTTAGTTTGTGAAACAACTTGACTCTGTTCTCGATCACATGATAAAGCACTCCCAGCTGGGTAACCAGGTCTGGCAGCTGTGGAGCAGATGGATGGCTTTATGTTAAACAGGTGGTACAGTAGTAATAGATTTCTACTGTAAGACTGTCTGACAAATGACATAATTACAGGTGTGTGTCTTGAAATAGAGAACACTTTGAAATACAGCAAGACTCACCGATGCAAGGTACGAAGTGTGATGCAAAAGAACTGCTTTTAACCACAGCACCATCAGCCTTGCCCTGGTTACACAATGGAAATGTCAGGTACAATTCTAATTAAGTTTCATTTTCCAAGAATAATGAAAATCAAAGCTAAATCAGTGACTTAGTTTAAGACAGTGATGGATTAATAATGTCTGCAGTGTGTAAACAGTATGCGTAAAACAAATTATTAAAAGACTTGTTGTCATTGTCAAGGCTCAACTTACGAGAACGGATGTCCTTGAAGTCGCGTTGTAAGCTAAAAGCATCACAAAATCAGTCGGTCCATCAATACAATAAAAAGAGCTTGATCAGTCAAAAATGTTTTTAACGATCATAATTTACCTGTTGAACCAGTGGTAAAACTGCAGACAATGGTATCCGAGCAACAGTGTTCTTAATAATATATTCTTTACGGGTTTGAAAAACTTTCTGTAATATAAAAGACAAAATTATTGACAATAAATATATATCCAATCTGTTCTGATATGGGGATGGGAATTGTTAATGTTATTTTCAAAATGCTATTGCCAATTCTTCATATTGACCTGGTTCTTTAACACAGCATCTCCTTTACCCAAATTATTTATATTATTAACGCATTGAGATGATCACTGGAGAAATACCACTTTTGTAGAAGTTTGAGCAGTGCAGAGTCAAAGTAACAATGCTTGAGCGACTGCAAAGGTCCTCCCTAAAAATGACAGATAATTTTGACATTTTTATATGGGGAATAATGTGGAAGAAAATGGATAGATGTTTGGATTTGGTTTGGTCAAAAAGGGTTATATGATGGGAAGCTATATCTCTTTAGAGTTCCAACAAAAATATTGGACAACTGGTATTGCACATTTTTTTCCACCTTGTGAAAATTGTGTCTAGTTCCATCCCTACTGTCATGTTTAGTAACCTACTCTGCTTTCTTGGGCATTGTACAAGAACTTCAACTCGAAGGCATGTCACACCAGGTGGAAATATGAAAGTCAGGTCTAGTTAAGAGGGGCCGGTTGGGGACTACTGATGTAATTTTCAAACTACATGTCAATACCAGGGGAAAGGAAAGAATAATCTCTCTGTATTTATATACAGTGGGATATTAATCTGGAGTCTGGTCCCCACTCCCTGCTCTGCAGCTTGAGGCAAACTTCAAACAACGGTGCAACCAGATTCATTTCACTGACGCATGTGAAACAAATAAGCTCACTGGTCACCATCAGTGCAGCATGCCCACAGCACACCAAGGTTTACTTCCTTGTTCAATGGTTGATAAAAATGCTTTACAATAAGATTTTATCTACTGAAGCACTTTCCAAATGCACTGAGAATCACTGCACTATGAGTTAAATATAAGGGTATATACAATACAGATGTATGGGATTGAAATGCTCTTTTTGTCCCTTTCCATCTTAATTAACAAGCTGGTGTTAAATGTGCCAACATAATTGTGTAGTCACTGTTCTTGTTCGCCCATCTTGTCCGGCTGTACACTGCCTGTGTAAATAATGTTTGTATAAAGTATATTTCTGTAACATCAACCTGCCAGGAAGTTTGGAGATGGAAATTAACCCAAGTCCATCATCTGGCATATTTATATTTGTCTAAAATTGTTATTAATATGCACTGTTTCATCTTTTTTTTAAAAAACAGAATAAATGGAGAGCACACAACAGTCTTTGTTTTGACCCGAAGAGCTGCTTTCACAATGTATCTGTACTGTGACAGAACATATGTAACTATTACATATAAAAAAAAACAAAAAAAAAACAGGTACAACTCTTCTAACCATTCACTGTGCTGATGTGGGAGATGGAGGTGCATTTGTCTCGCTGGTTGTGCGTGGTTGTGTGTGTGAGTGTGGTGCTCAAAAGGAGATAGATCAAACCACACTGTGTGACGTGAAGCATAATTCAAAGACTTCCGACCACTGCAGCACCAAGTAAAACAGCACTGCGACAAGGTTTAGGCATCTCAAAGCAGCTTCAATAACAATAACTGTTAAAACACCAGGCTTTTGATTTTGATATTGGAATCAGTTCACAAGTAAAAACCTTAATCAATTCCCACCCACAGTTGTGAAGAGCAAAAGCTCCATTTAAGTGGACTCACATTTAAAATGTTTGGGTCATTGCTCTCCAGTCCTTGCACCAACAACACAGCAAAGTTATCAGTCTGTAAAGACGCTGTGCTCTTAGGAGCCCCCTTCTCTGAAGAAACTGTGGCCAGGTCAATTTCTCCAAGCCGCTCTGCTATTGACATCTGTGGTAAAAGACTTGAATTAGAAACTTACATTCACTCAGTAGATGCCAAATTATGACTGTACATTAAACGTTAGGGTCAGGATTTTACAGTACACACAGTTTTTCACACTTTTGCAACAGAATATGTACATTATCATTTGGGCTGAAAAGGAGTTCTAGATATAATTACTGTTTAACACTAGACGTAAGCATGCTTTTACACAATGCTTCTCTGTACCATTTATTAGCTGTATCACATGTTTTATGTTCTGCCGGGGCGGCAGTAGTTCAGTTGGCTGAGCATTCGCCCACTGATCTGAAGGTTGGCAGTTCGAATCCAGCTCTCGACATAAACATCACAGGTTGAGTGGTCAGATCCACTGACCCACAGGTTGGCTGGTGTGAATCCAGCTCCCACAGATGAATGCTGTCGTTGTGTCCTTGGGTAAGACACTTAACCCACCTTGCCCACAGTGTCTGCGTACACTGGTGTGTGAATGTGTGTGTGAATGGGTGAGTGGTTCCTTGTTGTAAAGCGCTTTGAGTGCCTTGAAGGTGGAAAAGCGCTATAGAAAAATGTGACCATTTACCATTACCATTTCTTTTGAAGAGTTTACAATGATTTATTTTCTGTAGAAGTAAATATCAATTGGTTTAAGTGGTCTTCAGTATTTTCATTCATTGTGATATTTCATCAAACATGTATTGTATATACATGTTACATGGTCAGTGTGCCATATAAGATACACTAAAACAACATACCTCTTTCGTGCCAATGTCTTTTTTCCTTTTTTCAGAGGCTTGAGATGCTCCTTTAGGCGCTTGGTGTCCAGGAAGCCCAGGGACCAACACTTTGCTCTTTGCATTTATAACAGGGGTTTTAACCTTCAAAAATACATGTATTCATGTAAAACAGTTGTGTTACTTTGCGGATGGTACAAATTAATCTTGATGGTTACCTTGGAAACGTTGGTCTCCACTGATAGTGAGAGGCTTGTGTGGACGTCTCGGGTCAAACAGATGTGTCGCTCGGAAGTATTAAGCTCCTAAGTTAAGATTTCCAAAGTTTAGTTTTCTCACTATTTTCCAAGATCTAGTGCTTTGTTTAAGTAGATTGTAGGAGCTATAGTTGCATTTTGAGCATCTAGTATCATCAGCACTACAATGCGGCTGTAATACAACCTCTATTAGAATACTGTGGTTCTCACAATTGCATCTCTGACTTTTTCTTCCCAAAATCTTAAATGGCAGGAGCATATTACTCAAATTAATCTACACAATATCACAGTGTAACTCACCACTCTCTCCATGACAGGCTGCAGGTGGTTGCCATAAGCCAGTGTCACAGTGCGGGACTCTGCTCCCAGCGCTGCTGCCAGCAGAGGGATGGGTGCAGGAGAGTCCTTTGTGTCAGACAACTGCACCGAACATGATGGTGACAAGGGCTTCTTACAAAGCCTGTGGGAGAGGGCACACAGCCTGCTGATTAATGCACGCTCGCTGACATTTATTACGCAACAACTGGATCCAATATGACACACAGCAGCAGCACTAAATTACAACAGTGAACAGGAGAATATTCCCTGATCACTGTCCCATCTGTTGGCATTTTCTGATTTACTGGAAATCATTATAGGGTAAAGGGACCAACAGGTGCAGGATGCTAATACAGTTTCCCTATACTTATTTGGCACTACCATATGGACACACACGTTACTGAGTGCAGAGTAATTACTTTGAAAACTTACCCATTTAAAAAGTGCTCAAACAGATGCAACTGTCCATCTTTACACACCACTGCCAGCCTCACTGCCTGTGCATGGAAAACAGGAAAGATCAGCAATAAGATAAGCAAAAATATATTACGTATTTAATTAACTTTGCTCATCTGTACATAACATCAACTTTTGATTTTACTGATGACAATAGTCATGTTGAAAATGACATAAGTTTGGTTTCAACTCCCAAAAATAATTATTCACTTCATGCAGATAACTGAACTTTTAGCTTTGGGTTGACACATCCTAAAATCAAAACTCGTCTGTGTTCTCATTATATGATATCTGATGGCATCCAGTTTAAGATGTGCTGATGCGTTTCCCCTTTTAAAAATAAATTAAATGTTTCCGATCCAGACTATTGCTTCCTACAAATTTTCAATATCAGAGATTCAAGTTATATATGTATATAAAACATAACTGTTACATTATGCGTTTTAACACTTTTTTACAGATGAAGATATACCAAATCCAATTAAGGCTGACAAAACAAATAAGAGCAGGTTAACATGTTGATCTCAGTACTGACCTCTTCCTTGCTGTTGGATGGAACAAGGTTCACATGTTGTGGTTCATCAGTCAGAGTGAAGGACACAACTGAATGTTTGTCCTTTCCATCATCCCGTACTTGCCTAATGGAAACAAAACATATTTGCATAAGTAGTGATAACACAGAAAATAGTTGTCCGGAATGAGACTATTGAACATACCATACACTAAGCAATCTATCATGCGCTGCACCAGACAGAAAATAGAGACCATTGCCATCAGGAGGGCGAGTTGTGGCAAAACAAAGGGTCGTCACAGCTGTTGAATGGCCAGTAAATTTCTGGACAAAGGCACAAAAATATTCTTAACTTGACATAGTTTTCTATGAGCTTGCATACAGTTTCCACTTTATGCTTTATCTTCACAACATACCCTGTAGATCTCCTTGGTTTCCAAGTCCCACATTTTGATGCCGTATCCAGCAGAGAGCAACAGTTTGCCATCAGGACTCACACACAAACTTGTGATGGCTGCACGATCTGCTTTCCACGTACTAAAATGAACAATATCATTAGATGTGCAGACAATGACTCATAACCATTTGAATAGATGCAAAAGGTGTAATACCCAGGTATAGTGGCTTACTTTAATTTAGTTTAGTGTTAAACATACACAGTTAAAACTAACTAAGAGATTAGAAAACTAGATTTATGAGGTCTTTTAATTCCCACTGACCTTCTCGTTTTGCCTGATTGCAAATCCCATTCTGCGATATTTGTATCATCTGAACCACTGTATATTAAACTGTCTTCAGGATGCCACTGGACACAGTTCACTCCTGCTGTGTGCCCTCCATCCTGGAAGAACATCAAAACATTAAATTTGTAACACAGGGTTGTTATTTGGAAACACATCAATCCTTACATAAGTAGAAAGTCTGATTTAGAACTCACCAGAGTACAGTGTAATGCCCCCTTAACAGTGCTGTAGATGAGCACAGTGCCCGCTGCTGTGCCCATCGCCAAAAGGTCTGCCCTCTCCTCCACCTGTACCGCCTCTGATTTCCTCTTCTTCCTCTGCGGTCCCTCCTAAACACAGATACAGATTTCAAACAATGTCAGAGGCAACAATTCACAATTACTCACAACTTTTCTGAAAATAAATTATTTTTTACACGCAGGCACAAATACAAATATGATCAACTTGGTTAAAATAAAATATATATGTAAAATAACAGTGACCCAAAAGCAAGTAAGTGAATAAAAGTGGACTAATGACAAGTTGCGCAAAATTGATTATTTTTCCATGTTAAAAGTTCCACGGTGGCAACATAGTGGAGGTATTTAAGATTGCTAGTGCTAACCAGTGTATACCTTTTAACGAAAGTACACTACACATCTCAAAAGGTGGACATGTTCATGCCGCAGTAATATAATGTCGTTTTCTGAGATCCCTAAACATAACTTTTACTTGTAGTCTTATCTGTGACTGCCATGTGGGAGCAACATGTGCGTCTGTGCAGCTGTTCCGAGCTAACATAGCAAAGAGCTAATGTGATGGACTTTTGTCAAGAAATAGCTTTTGTGGCATGTCTTAGATTATATAATATAATTTTATGTGCACAATCTGAAGCATTATGCAACACCTACAAACTATAAAAAGCCTCAGAAACAGAGTTTTTGAGTGGGCCTTTGGCTAGCAATGCTAAATAGCATCCTCACGTACCTTGACTGTCCGGCATGGTCCCCAAGCTATACAGGTACAAGTGGCACTCAGATGGGCTGAAGGCACGTACTCCTGCTGAAGTGTTTTGTTGTCTGTGTTCCAGATGCGAAGTCTGCCATCCTGAGCACACAAAGCTAAGTACTGCCGTGATTTTGGTGAAAAAACGCAGGGTAGCTGCAATGAGGAGCTGCCACCATCGGACGCCATTTCTGTAGCGTTGAGTGCGTCTGCGTCGTGCGTGGTTTACACAAACCACGTGCGGCAAAAGGACCTGCGCATTAGCGCAAATATCGCCCTCTTCTGGACGTTACTGGAACAACAAGCAAAGTCGGCACGAACACTGATGGATCGATACACAAGCGGCGCTATAAGTCCTTCAGTCAACAAAAGTGACACGTTCAGATACACCATGGGCCTGCATTGTAGTTTGTAAGCATATGTTGTATGTATTCTGAATGAATCTGTAGCGTTTACATAAACTTTTAATCAAAGCTGATTGTCGCCATCTGCTGGACGATCGAAATTATTGCGTGTGTCGCCTGGTTATGACGTGCGGTACATGTGTTTCATAGAGCTAAGATGTGTTTACGGTAACAGTTCACGCTACAAGTGTACCGTCGATCTATAGGTCTCCAGGGAAGCATCGGAGCTGACAGGCAGCATGAGGTTACGGTAATGAAACTAATAAGACGTAAGCTTTGGGTTTAGACTCACTACAACTTAGATGTATCATGTTTCCAAAACCTATGTAAAAGCAAGGAGCTATGACTTTTAAAATGTCACTCAAAGCCCTTTCCATAAAGAGACTCCTGAGGGGGTGTGCATTAGGTCATCATGGCAGTATCAGAATGTTTCCAAAAGTTAGTATTAATATGCAAAAAGGGAAGTTTTTCTCAAATGCCTATGTGATGCGTGTTGAGAATGATGACACAAACCATCCAATCCCTAACCTCAAGCTGACCTCTAGACAAGCTCTGCTTTCAAAGAGAAGGAGACCATTATCCCCTCTAGAGAGAATCAGCAGCCTCCTGCCCCAGGACAGCCTGAGCCCAGAGGTGGAGGAGCTGAGAGAACAAGACCAGAGTCAGCATCAACTTGCCAATGACAGGCTATTTGACCGTACAGCTTTGCACACCATAGAAGAGGATGGTGGTTATCCTGGGATTGTTAAAGGTAATGAGATGGAAAAGGATGCAAAATTCTCTGATCATGCATCCTCAGAAGTGGATATTACAGAAGACAATCTCAACAGTGTACCTTTACATCACTCATGTCTCAAGGGAGAGACATTACTGACATTTGGGGAGGTGCTTGTTGCTGAGTATCGTAGAAAAGGTCATTTAGAGTTTAAGAAAATGTTTCAGCTTCAGCCCAAGACGTGCCTTCAGAGCAGCTGGGGTGTGATCCCACATGAAGAGATTGTTGGGACACCTGCTGGGAGCTTCCTTAAAACCAGTCGTGGCGTTTCCTTCCTTATACGGCGTGCCAGTCTGGAAGACTATGTACTATTTATGAAAAGAGGACCTACCATTTCTTACCCAAAGGTATACCCTGTGTTTTGTTTATAACTGCGATATAGCCAAATGTTTTCATTTCCATTTTTTTCTTTGCGACATTTTTCCCAGGACGCAGCTGCTTTGCTCATGATGATGGACGTCACAGAGGGAGACTGTGTGCTGGAGGCAGGGTCTGGATCAGGGGCAATGTCTCTGTTTCTATCCAGAGCAGGTGAGCTGTCTTTGCTTAAAATCAGTTTAGGTAAAATAGAATATGTGAAAACTAACACAAATCTGATATAGAGGGTACCAAAGAAAATATGAAAAAGTACTTGTATTCCTCTGTGATTGTAGTGTAACTTTTCTGGTTGGGTGTCCGTAACCTGCTTGTCTCTATGGGGCTTTGGACAAAATGATATGAGAAGCTCATCTATCTTGCATTTATTCCAATTATATGTTTTATTGACAAGAAAATTAATTGAGAAACATGCATTCTTACCTATCAGAGTCATCTCTCCATCGATCTGCTCTTTCAGATAGATAGATTAATGCCATACTGTAGAATATTCCATATCACAAGTGGCATATGCTTAACAGAAAAATTAGTAATGACTTTAAGTTTTAGGTGCTAAAACTATTACAGAAAATTACAGAAAAAAAGTTATTTGTAAATGTAATGTAAATCTGCTTGAGTTGAAATTAGAAAGTGGTTCATATTGTGTTATTTCAGTTGGAACTAGCGGAAAAGTACTGAGCGTAGACGTGAGAGAGGACCATCTAAAAAGAGCTATGCTAAACTACAAGCGGTGGAGGACATCGTGGGAGCTGAGACGAGGACAGCCATGGCCAGATAATGTGCAGTTTATGCACGCAGACCTCTGTACAACCCCTGTCCTGGAGGGCTGGGGATTTCATGCGGTTAGTGTCTGGAAAAATATTTATTTGGTCAAACACACTCAGTATTATTATGTAAAATGCGTCAGTGTTAAAACAGTACAAGAAAATCATTAATAATTAATATGTTAAAAAAAATACAAAAAGAAACTACTCTGGAGCTGGCTCAACATTAGCAATTAGGTCTCATTTACCATCCAGATTTTACAATGTACTAACAATGAAAATATGTGTCTCACTGTATACTTGTATTCTTATTCATAGTTTTATTATGCATGGCCAAAAAATAACTTTTAATTACTACCATTTACCATTTTATTACTACCTCTTCCAATGTACTTTAGAAGTGATAAGTGAAAACTACAACTATTTTTTTCTACAGGTTGCTCTTGACCTCATAAACCCTCACTTGGTTTTGTCCATTGTGATCCCACATCTCCATTCTGGGGCTGTGTGTGCTGTTTACCTCGCAAAGTGTGTGGTAAAACAAAAATAAATGTTCCCGTATTTTCTGCATTTGTTAAAAAACACACTCAATTGTTATAATTGTATTTCAGCATAACACAGGTAGTTGATTTATTGGATGCTCTGCGTTGTTTGCGTGTCCCTCTGCTGTGTGAACGCATCATGGAGCTTCCTGTCCGGGACTGGATTGTTGCTCCAGCCCTTCAGAAAGATGGGACCTACTGCATAAGGAAATCTCCAACTATGGAAGAAAACTCTGAGAGAAATGGGGCTTTAAAACAAGACAGATCAGGTACTAATAAAACAAGGAAGTTACAACAAATAATACTACAGTTGTATGAAGTTTCTTTTCATTACAGAGCAGGATGCAGCATTTGGCAGTATACCATACATCGCCAGACCTCACCCACTACAGCTGAGCCATACAGGTATGAGTAAGTTAAAGGCCAGCTCAGGTAAAATGTTTGAAATTAAACTTTCTGATTTTGTTTTCTCTGTATCCACAGCATTCCTGGTAAAACTGAGGAAGCATGTATAGCAGCCATTTAAGTTTCAACTTAAATAATAAAAAACAGTAAGACCTCTATGCAATTTGCCAAAGAATCAAGTGTTTTTTATGATTATAAAATGTTAGGGGACATCTTGCATATGACTAAACATGCAAAGATCCATAATGAAAATTTTTACATTTGGTTGTACTGTTTTTGTTGGAGACACAGAGTAGTAGGAAAACAGACAGTTTGATTACTGCATGTGACTTTATTTTATTTGATGAAACAATGACAATACAAAAAGTGCATAAATAAATAAATTAACCAACTCATGTTACAAATAAATAGAACCCAGGTCAAGGTAACACCCCAGGGTGACACATAGGCAGTACTTTATTTGTCATCATTACAGCTTGCAGTACTTACAATAATTACATACAGAATTTGATTAGAAAATGTAAAACTGCTCAGTTAGACTTTGCAGCAGACACAGAAACATGCAGATGTGTAGACACGACCACTGTCCGCCTCTTGAGATGATGTTAAATCTACTCCTCATTAATCCAGTCCATGGAGGAGTCGTATAAGGATCCATAGGACAATTTATTCTCTAACAGGAAAGACGGGAGAAGACAACTTCAGGTTAAGATTAACATCAGTAGTACTGTGCAGTAGGAGTTCAAATAATAGATACTGATACTGACTGTGAAATTCCTTCACAAAATAACACTCACTGATGTGAGGGCCCAGTTTCTGCTGAGAGGTGGTTGTTCGAGGGGGTGTCCTCTCCAGTCTCAGTGAGGGAGCTGCAGGGAGCAGACGGGGCGGGTTTGTTACTTGGGTGGAAGAGGTTTTTTGTGAGGAGACTAGACTAAGGCTCTGGTCCAGTTTGGAGGTGTGGCTGCAGATCGCACAGGAGACTGGAGAGGCTGCGGGCCCTCGAGGAACGGGAGTGTGCTCTCTGTGGCCGTACTGCCGCTGAGCACCACTGTGATGCTCTGAGCGCTCTCTCTGCCATACAAAGTGACAGGGAACAATGGCCATCACCTGAAGAAAAGCAATGAATGGGTAATCTATTCACTCACCTAAAGAATAGTTGTAGTCTGGGGTAACAACATATGAATATTTACCACCCTCTTAACAACTAGCATCATACCTCTTCACAGCAGCGCCTGCTGACAGCAGCTCGGTACTCAGTACGAGCCCAAAGCTTGTCTCGCTGCTTCAAAAAGCGAGGGAAATATTTCCTCCAGTTCTTGCCTAGAGCCCAAGGAAAAATCTCGTACTTATTTTCCTCTTCATCCTCCTCCATTGTGTTAGCAAGATACCTGCAACAATACACAAAGTGCCATGAAGTGAATACAATATAAAATGCGCAAGGCATAATTATGTACCCAGTGTCACATATCATATATTCATAGTAGTACCTACAGAGCCATGAAGAAATTCTTCCTGGTGTATTCAGCCAGAGAGAAGCATGCTCTTTTGAAATACACAAAGGCCATTGCTAGAAGGTACTAATGAAAGGCACACATTTTAGGTAAACCAGAAAAGAAATCTGATGATTTGTCTGGAGTCTAAAATTTACCTTGTCTGTCATTTTACAGCAACAGTCCATCCACAAAAAGTCCTGGATCAAGTCATCTTCTGTAATATATACATACAATCATATATTTTATTTTTAAATGTAATTTAAATTAACTACATAGCAGAGAGAAAGGTAGTACTTGCCAAATAGTTTAAAATACGTAGCCATTTCTTGGTGCTGGATGAGGATAGTTGGGGATGGAACTACTTGGACGATGTACCTGTCGTTTCTGTGTCTGGGCTGGTTTTTTCCTTGTGGACACTGAGCGCCCTCAGCGTTGGGCCGTTTGAGCCGCAGACCTCTGCGGACCTGGAGAGACTGGGTGCTGTTGGCTCTGACCCGCACCGTCACCGAGGGGGGCGTCTGGCACCACGCAGCCTGTTTCATCATCATGGATCAGCTTCAGGCATCAGTGTCCCCGGGGCGCGCTGGAAACCACTGAAGTTAGGTCACGTTAGCTTAACAAAATCGCGAGTCTTTTTTTTTTTTTAATGGGAAGAAGTGATCAAGTTTCAGTGTTTGTGTATTTGTATTTTTGGCGTTACAATAAGTAACAAAGTGTCTGTAAGTTAGCTGGTTGTTTAGAGCTGTAATAATTGGAGATAGCTAACATTAGCAAAACATTACAGACCCCTATGAAGCCAGAACAATACCGCCAATGCATACGTGATGAAATATCAGACTATGTGTGTGCATAGTGTATTGTTTAAGATACAACAGAATGATCTAAAATAGTGTGAAGTTCTGACTTTTGACATTTGGTTTATTTACCGGGTGGATGGTGGATCCGCGTCAATCACCGAGGTCACGCAAGTCGCGGGAAGAGCGTGCACACGTCAGGTCCCCGCATCTGCACCTGTAGCACATGTACACAGGCAAGTACTACACAAGGAGGAGCACCCGGGATTGTAACCCTCAAACTGGAAGAGTGTATATATGTATGTGTATATATATATATATATATATATGTATATATATGTATGTGTATATATATATATATATATATATACACACACACACACACACACACATATATATATATATATATATATATATATATATATATATATATATATATGTGTGTGTGTGTGTGTATATATATATATATATATATATATATATATAACTATTTATATATCTATTTTTATTTATTTTTATTTATTTATTTTTCCCAAACAGCATGTATTTAATTATTTTGTTATTTTTTCTGTGATCAGCCTATATTTTATTTTATAATACAATAATGTTTTCCTTGTTACAATATTTGTTGTTGTTTTGAAAATCTCTGTGATGACCTGGACAGTTGATATGCATCTATAAAAAGCCATGCAGAGGCCAGCCCCTATTACCTAAATGAGCTTATGCTCTTCTAAGTAGGTGAGTTTTATGTGCCTTAGGTGACATATGTGCATGCTGAGGAGTTCACTGAAAGCCTTGTTAATCCTATCAGCTCTTTGTCCTGTTGTAAGGTGCACTGGGAAGGATGTATTTCAGAGCACTCTAAGTCATGTTTCAAAAATAGTCAGCATTTTATTGCACCTGGAAATTACTTTTGGATTGTATTTGTGAAATGGATTTCTCTGTGTGTTTTTTTCATGGTTTCCTTGTGAACAGAGACCTTATCTGCCCGAACAATCGAAGCCATCTGAAAATGACAGATAGGGCAGGTGGCTAAGGACCGGATACTCCTCTTTGATTCATTCCCTGCTGCTTTAGTTACAAGGAGAGACTAAACTCAGCCTGCTGAAAGTTTTTACAATGGGCTGTGCACCTTCAAAAGGTAACAATTTTGGGACTTTGGGTCCGTTGAGGAAAGGTCGAATGCTGCCTCCTCCACCTTTACAGAATCCCAGAGAAAGACTAACTGAAGAGGGAAGTAGCTGCAATTTTCCAGGGTCAGCAGAATGGGATACAAAGGAAAGAAAGACCACTGGACAAAATCAGGATTGCCAAAAGGATGTCCACTTCCTACCACAGAAGAGGTCTGTGCCTGACCTGACCCCTGAAGCAGTGAACATGGATATAGTGAAGATTCAAGGACTGGAAAATGACACCGTGACCCAGAAGAAAGAGAAGACAGGAGAGAGGCCAGTTGGAGCTGACAAAAAGTTAAGTAAAAAGACGAAGAAAAACAGAAGTGCAAAGACATTAAAAAAGAAAGAGACGGAAACAGACAAATGCCACAGTGAGCAAAAAGTGGATTTTCCAGAACCTTTGGTGAGAGCTCACCAAGGGGCATATGCCTTTTTAAATCCAAGTATAGTCAAATACGACAGTTTAATTGAATTGTTGGAACAAGCTACACAAACTCAGGTCCTCGTGCAGCCTATGGTGTCCTTTATGGCCTTACGATATGAGGAAATCATTCAGGGATTAGAAGAAATGGCAGAAGAGGGTGAAAAAGTGTTCAAAGAATATGGGGAACATTTGGCCTGGCCCAGCCAAATGAAGAACCTCTCATCTGCGAAGTGCACTGCTGATGGGGAGTCCCCTCCAGACCTGCTGCAGCAGCTGCTTCAATACACCACTCAGAGAATGCGCAATGTGAGCCACAGTGTGGGTCGGCTGGGGGACTCTGCCTTAGAAGAAGCAGTGGAGTACTTTGCGTCAGTCTCTGAGCTGTTAGAGGAGAAACTCAAAGCCAAACATGTGGCTGAGACAAGGTTAATGCACCTTTTGTGTCGCATTGAAATGGCCTCTGTGCGGAAGCCTGGGCCTGAGGACTCGGCTCTGTTTAGTGAGGACAGTGGTATCGGAGGAGAGAGTGAATCTACTGCTGGATCTGATAAGCAGCACAGGCCAGAAAGTTGTGGGTCCACTGGGACAAACAGGACAATGTCTGCCAGTCCAATGAGATATAACGCTTTTCCCAGGAGATCTTCAAGACAAATGTTTACAAATCAGATAAGTCCAAGTGTTTCTCTCACATCACTTCACTCATTAGGCTCTGCATGCACTATCCTGGCTAATGAACAAAGAGACTCAATACTAGGATCGTTCTCTGGGGAGGATGATGAGGATGAGGTAGATGAAGAAATTAAACACAAATGTAGGTTTAGACCACGCTCTATATCTGTAGACAGTGACCATAGTCGACGAATACCTCCAAAGCGAATAGAGAATCCTCAAAATATGGAAATGACACTTAAAATGAAAAATGCCATCAGTGGTAGGATACAGTTTTCCAAATCAAAAATAGGAGAGAGTCCAAAAAGGACTAAACAACAGTGGGCAGATGATAAAGAGCAAACTCCAAAAAGGCCTCAAACAGCTAAGGCAGTGGACAAAAAGATCACGGTGACCAAAGCGCGCCGTTCTCAATCAGCAGAGTCACTGAGGAGTAAAGGTGAGGATCCCACCTTACTTGAATTAGAAAGGACTCAAAAGGATTTAAACCAAAAGCTTCAAAAAATGTCCAAGAATAAAGTAGTGACAAATACTAAAACTCCTGCAGCTAAGCCAAATCAAAGAACCCCCATCTTACAATCTCCAAAACGAGTAAGGAAAAATACATCTCTCGACAAGAATGTGCAAGCTACTGGAAATAAAGAAGACCCTGTGGATCCCAACAAGAAGAAACAAGAAAAGAAAGAGGATGATGATAATAAACCTGTTGAGACATCCACCAATGACATAACTAATGACATAAAACTGAGCACTCCTCCTACTCCTCCATCATCCCCCAGGCCTTCCTCGCGCCTTTGTCGTGGCCGAAACTCTGTGAAAAAACTAATTGACACATTCAGCCAAGGAGTAGAAGAGCGTGAAGGCCCTAGAGTCCTCGGGCCCCTTAGGGGAGTAAAAAAATGTGGTGTCCCTGTCCTGCCTGGGCTGGGTAATGTGGAGGCTGTCCTCAGCAGTGGCCTCACCAGCTGTAGACCTGAGACTGAATCTGAGAAAAATGACTTTTTTGACCTGGACAGTTTGCCTCCACCCCCAATCGAGGTTTTAATGGACAAGTCCTTTGAAAGTGCTAAAAGTCTGTCAACTGGACATTCAGAAAATGGAGTTACTAAAGTCAACAAATCACCTTTGCCAAAAAGAGCCATGGTATCACAACGACTGAAGGCTTCGGTGCAGCCAGTGACTGTGCTGCCGAGCAAAGGAGGCATGCAGTCATCTTCTACTAAAGTTAACAGAGATGAGACACCTGCTTTGTCAAAGCTCAGCCAACCAGAACCCCAGCAAAAAGAAAACAATGCCCTATGCCAACAGACCAGAAGGATTATTAATATTAGAAGCTCTCATGCAGAGAAACCAGCCAGTTGCATTCCGTCAGAAACTTGTATGAGTGAAAATACAACTGAAAATACTGAAATGAAAGAATGCAACATTGCAGCAGTGCCTGCACCTCAGACTACAGTGTTTGCTGTGCCTCCTTCAGCTTCAGTCAGAAATTATCCACCTTCCACCCCACCTGCATCTAAGACCCGAATGTTGCCCTCCACACCCACAACCTCAAGCGTCTTACACAGAAGACTCCCAAGTCCCAGCAACCTCAGAAGACAGCCTTCACCAACCTCCTCCAGTGGCTCCTCTACAGCCAGCACTCCCCCAAACTCAGCCATTCAGAGGAGACTTCCTAGAACACCACTGTGCAAGCAAAACATGTTAAACTACAACTCTTACCCTTTTAAAGCACCATCACCCCCTGCCTCTCCTAAACTACAAAGATGGTCAAGAGAGAACAGCAGGGAAGACTTGTCCCGCAAAATGAACAATCCCCGCTCAGTGTTCTGCCCTGCTTCTCCATCCCTGTTTGAAGCTCCACCATGTCCTGTCCCCAAACCACCTGAAGCATGGACGTCTTCTAGGGTTTCTTTTCTCTCTCGTATGTGGGGGGGTTCGGGTCGTTTCCCTGCCAGAGGATCTCGACCACTCATAAGAAGAACTCAGTCAGACAGAAGGCCAAGTTTAAATCTGCCTCCTCAATCTTCATCTATCTCTTATGCAGAGACCTGTGGAAGTGAGCCCATGATATATTCACCAGGGTGAGTGTTTATGACTCTTTTCAAAATTATATTGTCAAAGTTTTGTAATTGCTTAAATTTATCCCCAGAGTGTATCATATTATTAATACATTTTATTAGTTATAATTATACACTGGCCTGTTGGGTTTACAGGTTGGATGATGAGTCTCTGGAAGAGCTGGATTTATGGGGGAGCCAATCAGAGCTACGGGCCACACTGCGCTCTGCCTCCCACCCGGACCTGTGTGTTGTGGGACAGTCTTTGCACATGGACTAAAGAGAGCCAATGAAAGGCCAGTGGGATTATGGATTAGTAGGTTTTACTGGATTTAAAGTGACAAGGTTTGCAGCACTTGGAGTGAGGCAGGGCTAATTGTAGCCTTCCTCTGATAACATGAAATGGTCTCTTTGCCTTATCTCCATGACATTTTTACCTTCAATTTGAACTTGTCTCATATTACGTTATTAATTTCTTCTGACTCCACAATGTTATGGAAGATAATTTTAGAAATTGTGTGAGTTAGGGGTTTTATATCTGTGTGTTTTTAACATGGCCTACCTTCATAATGTTGTAACAGTTTTTATAACTTTTATAGCTTTTTGCATTTTTTTTTATTTTATATATATTTGATTAAAATATGGTAAAATAACATTCATCTTTTGGTAATTTATAATAACATTTAGGTTTTTGTTTTTACCAAGAATTATTATTTTGCTTTTCATCCATGTTTCATCTTGAGCCATGATCCTAGTCAAAAGTGCCTGAGGTCCCTGTTTGGCTCATACATTAAATAGAAGAAAGCAAATGAGAGCAACAACACACTGCCTCTACATATTCTGGGCATCAAACCAGAGACCTTCTTGGTGTAACCTCTGTTTTATAACACCTTTGCTTTTCAGCATTCATTATACACAAGTGCAATTTCTCAGACCTTTTTAAATTGGCTTCAATTCTGTCAAATTTGCAAAACATAACCTTACTCAGCAGGCACACAAACAGCCCAAGGTTTGCAGGGAGAATAAATCCTTGACGTGGCAGAGCACAAAGGCTTCAACATGGGCGGAAATTACTTCCTGCTCTGACAGGGTCAATACCGGGTAAGATAATTGTACAATACCTTTGCATGCTGGCAAAATCCTCATTTAAATGTCACAGCCACAGTGGGAATCTGTGAAGCAGGAAATAGTTTATTATAAAAATGTCAAACAGGTTTTCAGTTTTTTGTCATGTAACAATGGGAAATTTTGTTATTTCCAATGATGAACGATATTTTAAAAGTAAAGCTGGAGATGCGTTTTTCATTCCAGCAGAATGTCAGCAGAACATATTGTATTTTTTAATCATATACTAAGATAAACGAGATAAAAATGCTCATTGTTCTCATGTTGTTTATTATATTTTAATATTTGTATTTGAGTCATGGCTTGTCATAATAGGTTGAAGATGGGCCTCAAAGCTTCACCAGTTGAGAACCACTATCGCTCCCAGTAGCTCTCCACCCTCTTCAAAGTAGCTCACCAACGGATTTCTGAATTCTATGTATTGTGCTTAATAACTAAAATTTGATTCATTACTATTGTAAATATATATTTTTGATGCCTAACTTTGTGCACTGATAAATGGATAATGGTTTATGTTTTATAACAATGTAAGTGTTCCCCTGTCTAAGGCTTGAAGAGGTTCTTATATTCACTCACTTTTTTTTGCAACTGTTAAAATATGTAGCTTTCTGGCAGTTTCCTTTTGTAAAAGTAGCTCAATGGAGGAAAAACGTTGGAGACCCCTGGTTTATAGCGTTTAGTCATATATAGCAGTACCCTATGTTTGCCACTAGAGGACTGTCTTGCTCCACATCACCATCCTCATTGAGATTCATGTGCATGCAAATTACAGCACAGTCAGGAAAGCTCACTTTGTTTATGTATTTGTCTCACATAATGAACATACAGCGTTATCAGTGATTCTTGGAAGTGTCAGACAATAGTACGTAAAAGAAAATGTGCAATCGCTCGGTGAGGGAAATCTCTCTCTTTAGGGAGATACAAACAAGAGTGTACTTAGACAAAAATGAACTCATATTTATGTTGATGAGACCCCATGAATAGTCAATCTCAGCAGCATTGTGTCCTGGTATTTTATTTTTTTCTGTCTTTCCGCTGTAGGGGGGATGCATTTTAACTTGAATGTTAAGGCAATAATGAGGTGGCTGTTGATTTTCTATGTGCCATTTAGCATTTTATGAAGGTACTATAACTTACAGTTGTTATTTGTTTATCCACCCAGCGTGACCCCCAAAAAATTGCATCTTGGAATTAGCTTTTTATTACTTTACTTAATATGCGTATACATGCAGACTTAGATCATCCAAATGAACCTTTTGTCTTCTTCAACTAAGGACATGTGCAAAAAATAAAGTCTACTAAAAAACTGTGAAAAAGAAGACTGGTCCTATATTACTTGAAACTGACTGCTGTGAACTTTTATGATGTTACCTCATGAAAAATATACCTGGAGTTGTGTTTTGTTTTAATTTATTATTAGTCTGTTCACATCTCCAAAGCTTAAAATGCTCTGTTCCAACTTGTGATGTCATGTAGTGATAGTTTTAAGAGTTAAACACTGCCTTTAAACTTTTGTTCAGTAGAGTTTGACAGTTCCTGGGCTGAAATCATCCAAATGATTCTAAAGAAAGTGCATGGATAGTAAAAACACAGAAGAGCACTTCTTGTATTACCACATGACATCTCAAAGTGGAACAGAACTCAGCATAAACGTGCAGAATTTGTGTGTTAAACGTGTGAATAAAACAAAACACAACTCCAGGTCTGTTTGTGATGAGGAAACAACATTATAACAGATCAGAAAATAGCACAATATAGGCCCTTGAGCTGCTCAGCATTCAAATCCCATTGCCATCTAAGCGTGTGGAATGTTTATAATATATAGTAGCTTAGCTATAACGCAACTGTCTAGTGAATAAGTGCTTGATTTATTTGTCAGACCATCACCATCCAAAAGTCTCTAATGCAAGTGCCCATTAGCCGTGTGATAAATAATGTCCTAAATTGCATATTAATGTTGTTTATTAGTTTGTTTAGTTTGTTGAATTTGTCATTTAACAAGATGGAGCTAAAATGCTTTTTGCTGAATGGGGTACTACTGTTCTAATTGCCTACTCCACATTGTTGATTGCATATTTGCACGCAGACTGTTAGGGTCCGGAATCAACATTAGCTTTGCCGTCCTGCATCTAAATGGATGCCACAAGCCCCATGTTGTTTGGAGATGAGTGTTTCACACAATTCACGCATGCAGTGAGTGGAAAACAGCATGTATGTATGAGTCAATATGAGTCAACATGTAGAACTGCCTACGAACCACTGTCCTTTATTTATATGTTAACACTACACTCATACATGTTCCTAAGGCAAGTATGACAAGGAGATAAATCCATTTCTCAAACCTTTAATTATAACATATGTCTGGATTCTTTCTCCACTGTGCACCTCAAAATCTGTAGTCAGGCTCTTCTTTTTGCATCAACCTCTGAATGAAAAAAAACCCCATCATGGCTCAAAGCTGACAATTCTAACTTGCAGATTACACGGTTCTGGTTCAGGTTGTTTGCATATGTTATCATTTGGTGTTTTGGTTCTCAAGATAATTATCCAATCAGAAAGCGGAATGAGCCTTACATGAGAGTCTCTTTTGGGTTGCCAGTTCCAATGTCTAAATGCAGAAAAGTACTGTCTCTGATCTGAATCATCACGCTACAACCCACTCTCCAACCAGATCTGTGCAACGCAAAAGGGCATCAAATGAGTGCCAATTTGAACATTCAGTTAAAAGGAAAACATAATTTAAAATGTGTTTAAAAATATAATGGTATGATAAACATAGACCATAACATAGTCCTCCTTCAGATATTGTATTGACTTTACTTTTCCTCATTTTTGTGTCTGTCCTTTGAAAATACTAGGGTTTTGTGTATTATTTAATGTTTTGTCCTTCAAATTACTTTAACATCAAATTTTAAATCAGATTAGTAGTTTTCCCAGATGCTTTTTTATTCTTGAGTAATTTCCCAGACCACCACTTTTACTTCTACTTGAGTATTATTTTGACATAATCTTACCTGAGTATAATTTTTGTCTTCTCTGTTGTCTCTCTTTGTGAGTCTGGATATGTAGTGCCAGTATTGGGACATGGCAGCAGCCAGTGCCACTGCGGCTTGGCACAGAAGACAGAGGTAAACATATGATTTTTCTACAGCCTGTGTACCTTCTGTTTGTTCAGGTACTGATCTGGTTGGCTCACCGCGCCTGAGCAGTGTGGGCCGTACAACGGGGCTGATGGGAAATCATGATGTAGGTGTGTGTCATGGCCGCCACTGCCTCTTATCAGGTGGGTGTTTGCCCAGTGCTGCTCTGTACGGCTGCTCAGATCATGCTCTGTGATACAGCCTGTGTCCACCTGGACCTGAGGGTGAGGTTCAGATAGAGCACAGGGCCTCATCATGCCCACTGCAGAATACACAAATCCACCGCATAATAAATCAAATAGAGCAGTCCAGTCAATGTTGTGGTGGGAGTATATGTTATAGACTGATTCACTTTCAATCAAGCCAGAATTAGTTGATTACTCAAATATTAAAAACATTTCCAAGTGTGTGACAACAGAAGTAAAGTAAATAAGTAAATAGTAGTGCAATAATCTACTAATACTTTATTAGTAGTAGAATATAAACCATAACAATAATGAGCTTTTAGTTAAAAAGGTGATTTTAGGTGCATTCAGTTAAACTAATAAAGATTAGGTCTATCTGTGCTTTACATGTGATGATGTCATCCTCAGATGGAGGGAAGGAGACATTTGTTTCTATTGATATCTGTGCATTTTAATAGGAAATATCCAAGAGGTAAATTAACAATTTTCATCTGCATAATTTCATTTGTTGCCATATATACGGCATAGAAATATATGTGCATCTTGTTTTTCAGATGTTCTTTATAAAATATGCTGTCTTTGTCCTTATTCTGCCTTAGTTTGGACATACACTATAATTCTAAAGAAAACAACAATAACAATTATGAAAGTCTATGTCTTTGATAGCACACATTATTTTTGTCTGTATGGGTGCCTTGTGCCTGTATAATGAATATACCATATGGTGATGATGAGTGCATAACAGGATGCAGAGCTTCTAGAGGTGTCTTTCATGTGTGTGTCTCAGCTGCGGTGGGGCCTGCAGCTCCAGCCTTCTTTCATCTCCCCAC